GAGAACAATTACCTCCTTATGATTGATTTAAATTTGTTTCAAGTATTTTGTAATAATATTTAATCAGCAATTTAGATAATTTGGTTTTTGCCGGTTTTTACCAGTTTTTGCCGGTTTTTACCAGGTTTTTGCCAATGTCCTGGCAAAAACCCCTTTTTGCCGGCAAAAACTCCAACCCTGGTTCTATTTAAAAAAAACATTAAGCTTTCCTAATAATTTTTTTAAGAAGGATAAGATTAAAACTAACAAATTCAAATTTGGTCATTTTTTAAAAAACAAACAAACCAATATGAATGTTTTTGTTTGAAAGTTAAATTTACTGAGGAAGAACAACAAACAGTTATATTAAAAAAATGGCAAGCTGTTTAAAATTACCTGTGCATCATTACGATTGGTTGCAATAGCATGGAGATCAAGTAAAGACTGGTTAACAGTTTTCTCCAACTCCAAAGCGGCTCTCATGGCATCAATACCACTTACCCAATCTTCCACAGCTGGTTTCTAGAAAAAATTCAACATTAAATTAGAATTCACCACTTCAATATGGGTACACTTTTGTAGTTAAATTTATATTTCAAGCAATTAAATGTATGGCGTTATATTGACATGGAAGCACTAAATTTACATTTGAAATATCCCTACCTTCTCAACATGCAAAAAGTATTTGTCTAAAGAAAGATTTTTGAAGACTTTCCCAGTCTTTCTCATCTACAGAAACATTTCCTGAACAAAAATTATGTTGCTTTGCATAAGAAACAAAGTAATGGAATCCATTACATGCAAATAATTATTTATGCCATAATTTCAACAATGTTTCAAGTGACGAAATTCTGCAGGTATGCACAAACTTCATTTCATGTTGCACTTATTTGCCCCATTTCTTAAGTTTTCAAATTAGTCAACAAAGAGATTTAAGAATGTAAAATATGAAATAAAAAAAATAAACTCATACTTAAAATGAAAATATTGAAATATGTATTATGAAATATCTTGGAAATTGAAATCTAAAATACATGTATAAATCAACTCAAAAACTTTAGCAAAGCAAATTTTTGAATCAAATCATCACATATTTATAGGTATAAAGTAAATTGTATAATTAAGTAAAAAATCATTAATTAAATATCATAATCCAAAAATAAGTAATCTTGAAAAATATAATAATTCCATCATGAGATAGATGGATATTAAACACCAACAAATACCCATTCATGCATGTACGACATTTGCCCAATAATACATATTAATTTTCAAATCTTTCTCAACTGAAAACTCTTGATGTAATGACGCATATTTAAAGGGCCTTTAAAGTATTGACATATATTATATTGCTATCTACCATCTCTCCTTTTTAAAGATTAAAAAAGGAATGCATGTACACATTTGCCCAATAATACATATTAATGTTCTAAGTTGAATCTTTCTCAACTGAAAACTCGTAATGTAAGGTAGAAAGTACCATTCTGACAACAACTTTGGTCCTGCTCATAACAAAATTATTTTTTAATTTTGCATTATTTAAGAATCTCCTCCCATTGTTTAAACTTTAAAGGGCTCTTAAAGTATCAACACAGATTATTGCTATCTACCATTTCTCTTTCAAACAGATTAAAAATGAAATCACAGCTTAACTTATTCAGTTCATTTGTAAGATTTGATTATAGATAATATTAAATTACAAATTTTCATTTTATCTAAATTCAAAATTATTTTTAAAAGCATAAAGTCTGTACTCATTAAATTTGCATTAAGAAAAATGTGAAAAGTTATACAAACGTAACATTTATGACTAATAAATAACAGTTGAGCTTTGTCTAATAGATAAATATTGAGCTATGTCTAACATTTTGACACATTAGCTGCCAACTCTTTCTGTTTTCTGGAAAATTTTATTCTCATATTAATAGCGGTAGCGAAACTCATGTTACTCCATTAAACATTTTGAATAATATTAATAATTATAAATGAGTTTGACCACCACTACATAATAATAACCACTAAATAATAACAAGTATATAATAGCATAATCTTTATAATAGAAAATTTCAACCTGGTCAAAATACAACTCTATTTTAGAAAAAGATTGTTTTTTGGTAATTGTTTTACTACCACTTGGAAAATCAATTCTCATAAAGAGTGAAAGTTAACAGGTAAGGAGATACTACAGCCAATACCCAAAATTTTATATTTAAAAAAAAAAAAAAAAATGAGTTGTTGCAAAATCTTTTTGTCCTAATTAGCAAGAGCCAAATTAGTTAAGAGAAAAGAGCTTGTTCCATTAGTTTTTAAAATTTGACTTTATATTTAAAAACTTTATCATTTATAGAATTATATTCATTTGAACATAAAATTTTTACGGTTTGTCAAAGACAAAACAGACGGAAAGTAACTAAGAACAAAATCTGGAACTAAAGCAGCACAATATAACTTCACAATGAAGATTTTCTTAACTGGTCAAAGTTTTAAAATAATTTATTTCTTTGTTTAAATTCAAGTGATTAGAAAGAGAAAATATAGATGTAACTAGATTTAGGTACATTGAATGGATCAATGTGAGTTATGAAATAGAGACGCATAACTTTCAGGAACAAAAAATAAGTAAAATATTTTGTGTAATGTTAATATTTAGTTCATCATTCAAATAAATCTAAATATAAGCACAAGATTACAACAGATACAATATGTGAAACATTAATTTTTTTTTATTTATCTCATATGTTAATTTATTCATTCATAAGTTTAATTTTTAAAAAACTTTATTGAGCTACTTCTGTAATCTGAGATTAATTAATATTTTTTTCCCCATTATATTTGTGAAAGTTTTTTTTTTTTTTTTTTTTGAGGTCCGCCTTGAAGAGTATAACTCATAGCTACCCTCAGGCAAACCTCTACATTTTTTTTTAAAAAAATTCATTTTTATACAATGCAAGTTTAAAATTCATTTGGAGCCCTGCCAATTATAGTTGGCACAACAGGCAATATGGAAATATTCCCAGCAGGCAACAATGAGTAAGCAAGAAGCAGGATGACTTGTAAAAAATGGACAAACATCTTAACTTACACAGCATATTTAATTCGAAGACTGTAAAAGATTTTTCTTCTCAGTCATAGGCTGTGCATTCCTAGTTTAAAACATTTTTCTCTTCTGTCCTTAAATAAGGGTATAGTTAAAAAAAAAAAAAAAGTGTAAATGGCTTTTTTTGTTTCTATCTGCATTGTGCGACAAAATGTTTCAATTCTTAAGGGAGCTAAAAACATTTTTTTTAAAAGGAATAAAGCCTCAATAAATAGTAAAATCTAGTTTAATAATCCTTTTAATTAGAAACAGTTTCTATACTCTCAATTTTTAGAGTAATAAAAAAAAAAAAAAAAAAAATGCTTTACCGTTAGCGCTACGTTTTCTCCTACATAGAGTTAAATGTGAATATTTTAATACTATTTGAAAATGTATTTTAACATAGTTTTATCAAGAATAAAATATGAACCATAAAATACAAAGCTATAAAGCATCAGCATACAGAAAAACCAGTTTTGGAAAATGACAGGCATTCCTCCATCGGGTAATTAAATCTGTTAAACTTTAATTTCATTAAAAAAAAAAAAAGAACTTTAGTGAAGAGACCTTAATTTCTTTCAAACATGTAGTTTTCTTTTCTGTGTGATGATTCAAGAAAACCAGATATATAGAGAGTATCTGGTACACTTTAGATTTTCAAATCCATGACTTTTCACGACTAATTCCAAGAATTTTTCATGACTTAACGAAGTTACTATTTTCTCCGACAAAAAGGCAACAATATAATTTAAAAAGTGCATTATAATGACATTAATTGAAATGATAGGTATAACCAAAACTGTTATACTCTGCCTCTTCATATTTATAGATTATTTTAAATTTAAAAAAATAGAGTAAAGAAAGAGTTGAAGCAATAAAATAGCTGAAAAAAATACCAAAAGCTAATAATTTTCTTTTTTTCCTGCAGAATTATATTCGCAGAAGTTTAAAAGATAATTCGCTCTAGAAATTATGTTTTTTCCCTCATTTTTTGAAAGAACATAATTTTTCAAAAAATATTAAAAACATTTTATATTATAATCAAATATGACTGTGAGTGGGGATTTTGTTACAAATTCAGATATTCGGAACACCATGAAATTGGGGGGGAGGGGTAAATTAAATTTTAAAAATTAGGTTTTATGGTGACCTAAATCCACGATTTAAAAAAAAATAGTTAAAATCATGCCATTTCATGACAAGTTTTGCTCAATACTGAAATTCATGACTTTCCAGGTGCGCAGATACCCTGAATATATTTATTATGTTTCACATTAATTTAGTGTTTGTAAAAATTTTACTTATCATTATTATGTGAGCAATAATAGTTTCAAGCATGATCAATCAAAACTTCAAATCAAAAAGTGTGCTAATAAAATATTTTTTGTTGACAGTAAATACTAAATGGAATTACCTCAATTGGTGCCAAAACAATGCGACCACCCCTCATGTTCTGGTATTTCATGAATTTCTCAGCATGTTCACGTTCTTCATCACTGCTCTTCTTGAAGAACTTGCAGAATCCAGGCAAGGCAACATCATCTCGATCAAAGTAATAACTCTACGAAAGTAAAAAGTTGCAGAATCACATACTTGTCACTACTTCAATAGTGCAAAAATAGGTATAAATAAAAACACGCATGAAAATGATTTATTTCAACTTTCATTCTTAAAATTGATTACATCATACACAGCACGCAGATTCACGATGATATAATTACAGATATTTTTGAAAAATCTCAAAATTTTTTGGATTGTGTTTCAATAAGCATAAGTATGTATAATAAATATCCAAAGGAAGAAATTATTAAATTTGTATTAAACGTGGAAAAGCGCACAAATAAAACTGCTTATTCCACATTGTTTGGCTATATTCTCATTAAGATTAAACTTTAGAGTGATTTAAGATCAACCATATAACAAAGATGACAATTGGCAACATTTTAAATTTAAAAAAATACGTTGATAGTTTATGCAACAACAGTCAGATTATAAAAACTGCAAGATGGTCATTCAGAGATAGACTGTTCATGCTAACTGCGCAATAAATCCGACAATGGCGTCAGCCGGTACAACCAAATATTTATTAATCAATCGTTAACTTACAATTTTTACTATAAGATGTTACAAAAAATTTCGTTACTTAAGCTGATTATGCAAAAAAAATTTTTTGTCTATTAACATCCAAAAATATTAGCATAAAGCACATAAAACATTAAATATTTGACTATATTGTGTTATTCAATATATGAAAATCAAGAATGTTTAATTTGAATCGAACAGGAATTGAAAATTGATTCAATGATAGCTTAGACAAATTACTCATTACTTTTCCTCTAATTATCAATTTTACTCACCATTGAAAGATAGACGTAGCTGGCATAAAGTTCCATATTTATCTGTTTATTGATTGCAGCTTCACATTCTTCATGGAAATTTTGTCTAATCTGACTGTTTGCCATGTTTTAAGTTAGAATTAGTAACTTTTACTTAAAAAGTAAATAGGATTTAAAAGGAGAATTAAAGTGAAAGAGAGAGATGCCCGTTCAAACACTGTTGAAGCAAAGCACCATTAAAGTTTTTTATGACGTCAAACCGAAATGCACCCATATTTATAGTTGATGGCTGTTGAATTTAGTTCTATGCTTCCCTAAAACATCTGTTTCATTCATTTATTTAAAATTTTCTAATTACATTTCTTGGCTTTTAAGAGATGTAAATAAGTTAAAACACATAAATTTGAATTTATGTATTTCAACTATTTTCCAATTAAGGGCAAAATTTGAGTAATGTTAATGACGCATATTTGTAATCGTAATCCAACCAAAAGAAAATAAATTAGCAATTGGTTTTTAGAAGCATATGCAATCAGAATAAAATTTTATTAACAGTATTTTAAAAATACAGCTGTGTCTTTTAAAGCCAATCAAGGTTTTTAAGTCTTTATTTTAATTTGAAAACCGATGTCCAAGTAACGGTGAATCCGAAGAACTGTTACTTTTCATCAAGTGGTTTTGGTTCATTATTTACAATAATTTCTGTAAAGTTTCGATTTCCATCATGAGTTATATTTTGTTTTTATTTCTATAATGATGCATCATTTAAAGTCAATTGTTTTTTCTATTGAATTTAAATGTTCTCTCTGAATCTGTAATTTCATTTAGTTACAAAAACTTCAAATGAATTAATATTTTTATAATGGCTCATATATTAGGCCATTTGTTTACATGCCTATTAATTATTTTTAATGAGTGTACTGCTTTAACTCATTGGATTGTAACTGAAGATGGTCGAATACAAGCTCAGGTAATAAATTATGGTTGGGCTGATGTATTTTCTTTACGTTTTAATTTAAATGATCTTAGATAAAAGGTTTAGTTTATCACGCATGATTTTTGTTGTGAAAAAACGCTGTTGTTTTTATTAATGTATTCATGTTCTTCAAAAAAATGATCAGTTCTTTAATTCAATGTAAAATTGCATAATCAAAAGAATTGCTTCAACTAATACTTTTAAAGTCATATCTTGATTTCTGTTTTTTTGAATTAATATTTAAAAACATCTATGTACTCAATGTCATTAACATGAACGCTATATCAATAAAAGATGATTATAATGAGCTTAACAGTTAAGTTAGAGCACCAATTTTTTAGAGGACGTTATATCGCGGGAGAAATTATTCATAACAAATTCTTTTTAACCTATATAAGTAAGTTTAAATTACAGGTAAATGTAGAGTGAACCACGAAGTTTCAAATGCTGAAAATATTTCAATATATCAAAATGTAAATAAATTTGGCAGAATAATTTGGGATTATGCAGTAAGAAATTTATCTTTTTGGTTTACCCAAACTTACTTTTCACCAAAGTTTTAAAATACTGGTAGAGAGGAAACAGAATTTGCCATTGAAAGTTTCTCTTGTGGTAGAGCATCCTCTATAATGTTATTATATCCTGACTTGCTCTAAGCATTCACCAGCAATGCAATAAAATCCTAAACTCAGCAAAAAAATTGTGTTTTGAGAAAGTATTACCGTATAATTTTTTCTACCAAAATAAAAAGTATATATTCCCCTTAATCCAGAAAAAAAATAATTTAAAAAATAGGTAAAGGAAATTTTTCTGAACAAATCCTGTATTTTGTATTCAATTACAATATTTTCCATTAGATACATCACATAACCAATTGGAATTACATTAAGTCTAGATAATGTAAGTAACAAGAAGGATTATGTAAGCAGGAGGCAAACTACCCTAAAATACAGGATCACGCAAAAATTAAATTTCTTAAAGTTTGTGTCAATAAAACACATTATGTGATAGCCGATGTATATTTTCATCCAAATATATTTGTAGAAAATATGTTTTCTTGTGACAATAACATAATATTGCAAAGGGTTTATCCTTATATTACTGCTCTACTCTTAAGAAGTTATCAAAAGTTAATACTGACCTATTTCTTTTCTTCAAAGACTATAAAATATCTACATTTTTCATCTTCTTTTATGCTGTCCAATTGCAAAATAATGCTTGATTTGAATTTAAATTTTATAAAATAATTCAATTTATATGTATTTTGGTTTGGAGTTTTCTATCTTAAAAGATCAATAATCAGATGAAATTTGAAAGATTTACCTTTGGCTAAGAATTTTAACTAATACTTTTAATAATTGGCTAATTTACCGGTTAGAAATTTGAAGTCCTTCGCGCACGTCTTGAGCATCATTGTCTCAGTTATGTACAGAAATCATTTTTGATTCAAATTCGAGGTGACTATTTTCCTTATTAAATACAATGATATGTTATGAGCTATATTTTTCAATAGATATTATTTTAATAGTCATGTTAATAATTTTAATATTTCAATAGTTCAAGTCCGTAATTCCTGTTAGTATTTAGTAAAGTGTTGGAGTAATGTGTAATTCTTTGTAAAAATTTACAACTGTGCACCCTTTTTATTTTGGCTTTTTTTTTAATGTTCTGAGTGAAAACAAGGAAAATGAGGTAAGCGAGAGATTTTCTAATTATAAGAAATTGAGATAAAAATAATAAGAAAAAAGGAAGATTTTACAAAAAGTGAAATATTTAAGGTACGGTGCTTAATCCAAGAAGTACCCAATTCTACACTTTAACCCATTTTTGTTTTTCTGTTACTTTGAATTTTACACAATAGATGATGAAGCTTTTAGATTAATCCTTTTGGACTTTTGCAAGAAGATTCAAAAGTAAAGTTTCCTTTCTGATTCATTTTTAACGGATTCATGTTCATTCATACCTGCTCAGATTTTAGAGAAAGAAATAAGGAGTTGGCACTCGTGTTTCTACATGAAGCATTTTCTTCCTACTGGTAGCCATCTTGCTTACATATAAACATTGCCTGCATCATTGTTTTGGAGAGTACATTGTTTCAAAGATTTAGTACATCATGGGAGGGTCCTGTATAGCTTTGAAATTTTAGTAAAGGGCTAAAATGAAAAGAAAATCCTAATTTTTCCAAATTAAGTAAAATTATTTTTGAAAATATTAAAAATTAAGTATAATTTCTACTCTTTTTACTGCAATGTATTTATAAGTATTGTAAATAACAATTTGATCCAAGTTAAAGCTGAGCAAGTTTTATATCTCTTCTATACTATCTATCTGCAATCTATACTCTTTAAAAATAGGTATAATATGTTTTAGAGCAGAGGTATTTTGTTAAAAAATGAGTTCCAAATCGGGAAGAACGTCTACAGCTGTTTTCTGTGGAGAAGCAATATGGCCAACAGCTTTTGCGCCAGGCTCATCGTCACTACAGCGGAGAATGGGGAGTGCCATCTCCTCCGTATTTTTTACCTCCATGGCTCAGATACCCGGTAGCAGAATTTGACTAACAACTGCAAATTAACAGCAGTTATAAAAATAGAATATTATTCTAATCAAAGCATCATTGCATATTACGACGACGGAGCCTTCGAAAAACAGTCGTAACAAAATTAAAAAGAAGTTTTTATAACTTTTTATTTTCTCTTTTCTAATAATTACATTATTTGACTAATTTTAAATGCAATTGAAAAATGGATTTGGTGATGCTGTATTTTATATGAAGCATTTTTAGAACATTTTGCTCACATCAATTATGTATCACATACTACCAATTATTATCATGCGTTTTTGCAGGAAAACTGTGATATCTAAGCATTTAAAAATTATTTCTATGTTTATTTAGAGAAATATGCAGATTCCAATTAGTATTTAAATTAAAAGTGGAAAATTTTTATGAAAAAAAAGCAATATTTTTTCATTTGTAGTTCTATTTGAATTAAAACTATTTATATAAATAATAAAAAATTTAACCTTTGAATAAAAAATTTTTGTTTTAAACCAGCCAACCCAGATTTAGCATATTTTAATTTTAAGTTACTTAAAACTTCTAAAACAGGTATATAATTTGGTTCTTTGAAAATGATTTAGGAATGAATTGTTCTTTAAAAATTGTCATTTTGTCATAAAAATTACTCTGCGTGTTACCTTACATTTGAGCAGAGCTTGCCAATAAACATCTAGAGATGAATATCAGATATTCATCTCTAGATGTTTATTGGCAAGCTCAGGGTTCCCACGGGTCAGGGAGAACAGGGAAAACCTGGAATTGTCAGGGAATTTTATTTCAACTCTAAAAATCAGAGAATAGTCAAAGAAATTTGCAATTTTCTTACAAAAGCCTGGAAAATTCCTTCATTATTCCTGATAAAAACACCAGTCTTAAACTTGTCTATAACAATACTCAGTCATTGAGATTCGAGTTAAATAATTCTAACATCTATTACAATTATTTATTGTAAAAATTATACATTTTAGACATACTGAATTGCTTCCTTCCTCATATAATGATCTATATTTTACACAAAAAATCTAACACTTGGTATAACAAATAAAAAAATCCAAATTTTCTAATGAAAAATTTCGTAGTATAGATAAAATATGGTATGGATTTTCATTGAAATTTGCCTGGAATACCTGGAAAAGTCAGGGGATTTTTTTTCTGAAATTGAGTGGGAACCCTGTTATCTCTTTACCTATGGCAACATTTCACATGCTTTCACCATTAGCGTGTGAATTGTCATTGCAGTAGGAAATACTTTAGTTTTTGTCTTGATTTTCAAACTGATTAGAATGTTTTAAGTTTTGACACTGTATGGAACTCATTAAACATAATTCTTACATAAGATCATATAAAATTGTACAAAATATTTTTGATAACCTAAATTTTAAAAATTTTGTGGAAGGTTGAAATATTGTTTTGCATTCCTATATCTGAGCAAAGAGAAGTGGGCACAATGAACTAGTATTCTCCTGAAATGGCATATTTAAGAATTGTGATCGCAAATTAAGTGGTAAAATATTTAATCAATGCTTTATTATTATTTTTTTAAAATTTTGATTTTGAAAATGCAATTTCAATCAAATTTTTAATTTAAATAAATTTTTTTATTTACCCTGTTTGTTGACAAAATATTTTTTTTACGTAACATAAAGTTATAGGATTTTTTAAATAGTATATATTTTTTTTAATAAAAATAAAGTTTGTTGAATCTCATCTCATTGCTTCAAACTTTGTTAAATCTCTGATAAGTCTGACAATCTTTTAACATTAAGTGGTAAAATAGTTAATCAATGTTATATTATTCTTCTAATCAGGTGATTTAAATTAATTACTTTTTAGAAAAATCAAGCGATTTAAATCATACCGACCCTGTTTATTTTTAATTTTTTAAATTAATCTTAAATTATAGTTTTTTTCAAATGATACTTTAAAAAAAAATTAAGTCTTGCACAGTTGGATCAAACTGATTTAAATCTTTATTAGTCTTGTGATAAGAATTAGTTTCTGCAAAACATCCTTTTATTTTACAGATGGACTCTGTGTTCTCGTTGAAAAGACCATATGATGTTGTTGCCTTAATGCAGCAAGAAAAGCGAGCTGTGTTGATTGAAGAACTGAAACAGCAGTTGATGATTCAGAAGGAGGAAATTGATCGAAGGGAGGATAAGGAGACAAACTTAGAAGGCAAAATATATGCAACGGATGAGGACTGCACGGCTGCAGAGAAACCCCTCACAGAGTTTGACTTGTATGCCAGCACGGTTGTCCCTTTTCCTCCATCCAAAGAGTTTGAGTAAGTGGATTTTCTTCCTATTTTATTATCATTGAATATTTTATGTCTTTTATTTTTAATCTAAAATATTGCCTTATGCTCTTTAGAGTGACCTTCTATTACAACGACTAACGCTTGAAGTTCCGTTTGCTATTTGATAGACGTAATATCATTTTGATGTCCATTAAAGTTTCCACACTGAACTATTCATTGCAATCAAGTTATTGAAATTTAGTCATTTAATTTAGAAGAAGCCATTTTTGCCTTTTCACAGGTTCCATGTTTCCTCACAATAAATGTAAAACACCTTGAACTTCTTTTGAATGAGGGAAGAGTAATATGAATGCTTAATGCTTATCCTGAGCTTTAGAAGTAGTTGTAGCTTATGGGCATTCATATTCTGTGTGACTTTCTTTTTAAAGGTTACAATAAATTTATCAATCCTGTTTTTCTTGTTTGTAAATTGTATAATTGATAACTTTTTCTGTTTAACTTCAAAGTCCCTGTTCTCTCATTCATTTAGAGAAATAGCAAATTATCTATGCATTTTATAAATTTATGCTGTTTACTGTTTTTCTGTAGAATATTTGTATTTATAATTGTCTATTTGATGTTAACTTTTGTGATGTTGCAAGTGTCAATAACGCATGTTTTTACTCTTGCAAAATATAGTGAAGAATTTACACAAGGAAAAAATAATCTGGAACCTGAGACGGAATTGATGAAGCCAAACTGTTCTGAAGCTGTTAACCTTGATTTCAGCATGCACGCATATGAGCATTTAACAGTATGTTCTTTTCTTATTATATAAACTTATATAGCAAATTTTTGTGCTAATTTGTCATTCATTTGCAGCCGTTTTTCGGAGACTTTTTCGTTCCGAAAATCGCAATAATTACTACCAATGTGCTATTTGTATTGTACTTGTGTGTGCAGATAATTTGAATGTAATGATCAGGAGAGTGGGAGAAGCAAAGGTTTTGATTTAATGCCTTAATTTTCTTTTGCTTGGTATAATTTATATAATCTGTTTAGATTGTTCGGCATTCACTACACTGATGCTTTTTTTAAAGGTTAAAGAAGTGTCTGATTGTTTTGATAAGTAATGGATTTTCATATTAATTTTGAAGAAATGCGCTTACACAAAATCTTCATTCCTCTTTATTTTACATGCCATTGCCTGATACAAATTTGCTCGGACATCCAGTACACTGATGTTTATTTTAAGCTTAAAGAATTGCCCAGATGTTTTTTAATATATATATTTACAATGTTTGGAAAAATTAAGAAAGTTTAAATTAATTTTGAAGTTATGCATGGAATTTTAGTAGAATTTGGATGTGAGGCAGTCATTTTTAGTTAGAGGTATGCTGTTTTGTTTTGAATAGAGCATAGAAATGTTGACTTTACTGCATTATGGATTAACAGGATGCGTAGCATTTTAAAAAAGTACTTAAAGGTGCTTATTTTCGCGTTCTGTTTTTTTAAAAGCACTTTAATCATTCATTTGGGTGTTGTAAAAAGTGCTTTATTTTCTTTGCTAGATTTGCTTGAAATTTTTCAAGATTTTCAAGTCGAACTTTTTTTATTAGTTACCAAATACGATTCTCTACAAAATTATGGGGAAAAAAATTTTATAATTTTTTCCATTCATGCACAGTACTGAAGTAGTAGTTTAAATGTCCATATCTTGTTCAATTTTTAACAAACTTAATTCAAATTTCAAAATGATAATTTTGTAAATTAATTTTTGAATTAAATTGATAATAATTGATAATTTTGTAAATTAATTTTTGAATAAAATTGATAATAATTGATAATTTTGTAAATTAATTTTGTGAATTAAATTGATAATAATTGATAATTTTGTAAATTAATTAATATTATAATTTTGTAAATGATAAATTGCTTAAACTTTTTTTAAAAAATTTCATTGAATATTTTTAGAGCTATAGCTAAATACCTAAGGCAAAAAAAAATTTTTTTTTATTAAAAAAGTGTCAATATCTTTATAAATATTCAAGCTATTCTTATGAAATTTTACGTAATTATAGCATTTAGTAACCAAAGTAATTGAGACGAGTTACAAGATTATTACTCTATTTTCTGATATTAGGTGTTAAAACCTCCTTTTTTTTCTCATAATTTATTGCCAGTCAGTCAAACCTATGAAAACATTGTTAAATATGAGAAATCTTGTGACCTAAACACGCATAAAGTTATAAAATAACTATCTAAGTTTTTTTTTGAGAAATTTAAAATAAAATTTCAGAAACTTAAAGTGTCTCATCGATTATTGTAGAGTAGTGTATAAACGAAAACTTTAAAGAATGACCCTCCCCCCATGTAGTAAATGGTGACTGGTGCACGTTAAATCTGTTTGGTCACCCATAGCAAATGATATTTATGTAGGGTACTAAATTGGAGATAGATCGTTCTCTGGTTGTGGTCAAAATTTTGATCTGTGGATGAATGAATGGATGTATGAATGGGTCCACTCTATAAACGGGTGTGACGTATGGATGTGACAGAAGTCTAATTCTTGAACATAGATGGCTCCACTAGAAAACAAGACCAATCGCGCCCCCTACGCTTAATGGCTGACAACAACAACTTTTAAAAATAGGCAAAAACTGCATACCTTAATTATAATTTTACATGTAAAAAGTGCTTGAAAGATGCTTATTTTTTAAAAAAACAACAATTATTTACACACGATTAAGAAGTAAATTTCATTGCATGTGAAATATTTAATATGACTTTGAAGTCCATTTTATATTGCTGTGTCTCTGCTAAAATGATGATCAAAATTTAGTATAATTTTAAAGTATTTTGAAGAAAAAGAAAAAAAAAACAGGATACATATTCAATTAGTGAGTAACTTCAATGTGTTTATCATTGTATTTTTTTAAATGCTTGTTTAGCTTAGTTAATCAATAATTTAGCATGCATATTTTTATGAAATTTGCAGCTTACTGATAACAAAACTGATGCCTGGGGATAAGTATTTGCTATAGAGCTGCTATTTTTTTATTTAGGAAATACTTGTTTTGTGTTAAAAATTGATTGTAATGCAAGTGAATTAAATAAGATTCCAATATTTGATTTTTTCAAACATTCAATATTTGAATATTTAAAAATTTAATAAGGTTCCAATATTTGATTCCGTTTTTTGCATGTGATGAAACTGACATAAATAAAAATGTTTTGAAAGTGGTTGCTGATAGAAAAAAAAATTGCAAAATATCAGGTGCAAGGACATAACAAATCAGTTCCCTAACTTTTTATAAATCATACTTTTCTCTTGTATAGGTTGTTTAAAATTTAACTTGGTTTGTATAAAGCATAAAAAACATACCATGAAATATTTGCAAGCATTTGTATAAGTTTTTAAATTCATTAAAAAGTTTTTAATTCATAAAACTTTTATTGAAGCATTTGGAAATTCTTGAAACATGTTTACTTATCATTTTTTTTATATTTTTATTCTATTCTTCAGTTTATTTTTATCTGCTTTATTTGACTTATATCTTAATTTAAGCGAGAAGGATTCTTGCTATTGTAGAATCACTAAATTGTCTTCAATATTTTTCATTTTTGAATTGTTTATTTGAAAGCAAACACTGATTTAAACTCATTTATCACCTCATAATATTTTTTCTCAGTTGAGCGTGTCATCTAAAAATGTTTTTCTTTTCATTGTCATTAAAAATTACTTTTTATTTTGTATCTCGAGATGGTAATAAGAATTTTTTAAGGTTTAAGAATCAATGGTGCTGATGAAGTTTGCCTTTTACTTAACACATATATCTGGGTTCAGAAGAGTTGGGATTCAATAATAGAAACCATGGTTTTGACTGATTTCTGTAACCCTTTGTGTAATTTGTTCCCAGCTTAAGAACTGAAAGTTTCATGTTAAACAATGCAAAATTATAAGTATAAACTTACAATGTTTTATAAAATATTAAAAATAATAGAACTCAAAGTAGTTGATTTTAACATTTTTGTCTTAAGCTGTGTAAATCTAAAGCTGTGTAAAAAAAATTATGTCAATAATACTAAACAGTTAAAAAAATGGTAGAAAACTTTAATTGAGAAAATAAAAAAATTATTATTAAACTTTAATTCTTATGCAGGAATTTAATCTTTGAAATACATAAAAGAAATTAAAGATAAAGCTGCTTTTGTTTTAATTACTATTCAAAAGTATTATGATCTTTGAATGCATAGTTTTATAGACATTATTTGAATTAATGAAATGTATCTTTACAATTTTTATATATTTTATAATTTATCAGTATAATTTTAAGCAAAGAATAATTTCTGAGATTATATTTGGTATTTCATTTTCAATTGGTAATAAAGTTTCAACAGCAAATATATTTGCTTATTATTTTAAGTTAAATTCTTTTGACTTAAAACTTCCATTTTGAAAGTTAGTTCAGCAGTTAATCTGGCATACCCTATCTAAAACCAGTTTAGGACATTCAAAATCCCAAATTTGTTATATTATAAAAAAAATGTCAAGCTAAAAAAAATACTCATAATGTTATCAAAAGTACTGATTATAATATTGACTAAAATATTTTATGTGATAAAATATCACTTATATCTTGTAAAAATATCTCAGCAAAATAATAATATCTAAAATATTTGTCAAATATTGTAAATTTTTTTCTATATTGCAAATCATATTAACTTGATTTTAAAGTATTTCTGATGATATAGTTTTGCAATACTCATATTAAGTATATAAAATTTTTTTTAAGTGATGAGATTTTGTTAATCAGCAGTGGAATAATAGTAATATCATTTTTCTAAAGGTTTATAAATAGACTAATAGTTAATTTTTATAAAGTAATAATGATTCATTTTTCTAAAGACTAGTAATTATTGTAACAGATTAATAATTTTTCTAAATGAAAACTAGATTGTTATATTTTCACGATATCTAGGCATAAATTAGTCTAATAAATATGCCAGTGTGGTTTGTTGAAGTGAGAGTTATTGTTTTAAATCTTTTTCGTTCCTTGCAAGGCGAGGGTGATTCTGAATAACATGTGTTGTGCTAAACAATTATAAGAAATCATTATTATAAAAGTGATTTAATATTTTTTATTTTTGGTAAAATCTTGAGTTTACAATTTTTATGGAAAAGGAACTTATTGAAGCAATTGAATATTTGTGTATAAATAATCATATTCACTGAATGTAAAGATTACTGATGTCTGTTATTGTTTTTTTAGGGCGTGAGAGATCGCAACAACATTACAATGACTCGGGAAGAAAGTCTTCATTCTGCCATAACAAGTATAGAAAGTCCAGAAGTCTATGGGCATTTAATTCATGAAGCTCTTCAAAAAGTGATTTTCCATCTTTATATTCAATTAAATTTTTTATACATCATGTTGTTATTTATATAGATTAAATGTTAATTAGCATTCATAGTCTAATTAAAATACATAATTTATCCTGATTAAGTAATATTTATGTGCCCTCAATTTCAAATGAATTAGTTATTCAACTTGCAGAGTTCTGCCAGCTAATTATTGTTTGCAGGCTTCATTGTTGTTTAAATTAATAATCAGTAAAAAAATTGTTTAATAAAAAATCAGGACATAATTAGTGCAATACATATATTTTAGATAATTTTTAAGATGGAGAAACAAAGGACTAAAAAATTGTGTCATTCACTGTTTGGAAAATTTTGTTTTGTGTGGCATATTTTTTTAATTCTTTACAACATTTTTTTTTCAAGAAAAGAAAAAAAATGGAAATGTTTTCAAATAAAAAATTAAGATAGGAAGTTGATCAGAAAAGATTTTAGGAAAATTGTGCTATTTCACTGAGGCGTACATTCAGTGAGAAACCTTGCAACCTGAATTTATTGACTTTGGAAATAGATTCCTGAATACAAAGGTAAATCGAAATAAGTTTAAAAGAAACTGATAGATAATTATTTTCATGCAACAGTATATTATTTTAAAAACAAGGTACAAAAATAAACAAAGAATAAAACTGAGAAATTAATCCATTACTTAAATTTAATAAACATTTGAAAGTACTAGTATTTGAAAGTGTATCATAAGTATATAATCGAAAATGGATGTTTAAAACCCAGAATTTAATGAGTATTTTCTCAACTTATTAAAACTAAATGATAATAATGGTTAAAACTTTATTACTTCATAGTTTTAAATGATGCTAACTTATAGTTAAAACTACAAATTTTTATTTTAAACAGAAATTATTCCAAATTGATGGCATTGAGGAAAAAAAATCTTTCTTTACTTAAACGAAAAAGTTGCATCCCAGCCTCTTCTCTTTGGAGAAAAAAATTAACTAATAAATTTTTTTTCTCTGAATAATGGAAGAAGATGATTCATTGATTATTCATGTTTTCAGACTATCACTAGACTAATCCTTATTCTTTTTGTCTGGTTTACGGACTGAGAGATGCCTCTTTGTGGTGCTTTTGCATTTGATTATGTGCACGACCGAACTAGGTTTGTTTATTACCCTGTATTAGTTAAATAGAATTAATTCTATGAATACTCCTACAACCGAAAATATTCCCATGTGTAATTTGCAAACAAATAAAAATTTAAATTAATTTATTGTTGTCTGCATGTATTGAATTTTTAAAATTTTCTTTTTAGAACAAAACTTCTTGGGTTTTATTTACAATGGCTTCTTATTACTGGAGAATCCATGGAAATGCAAGTAACGCTATTGAGTGCATCAGGCGAGCACTTCATTATTCTCCCAGGTTTGTAACATGTCTTTCATAAAATTTAAATAATGACGGTTTTTAACAATATTACACCCGTTACATTCCTACTGTCAGCATTATTAGAAAGATAATCTAGGGTTTGTCTGTTTATAGATTTTTGAAAGATTCCTCAGATTAGCTCATCTCCTGTAAGCAGTTTGACTTCAAATTAACAATCAATGTGCAACTTCTTACAGAGAGCGAGCTCTTGTTTTTTTTTGGGAGAACCTTTTAACATCATGTGTCCCAAAGGACCTCCCTAGTTATTAGGGTTTCAAATTGAATGACATGGCTTTCTGCAGTTATATGTACGTCACGTTGAACTTGCTGATTCTCGTGACTGCATTTTGTGTGAGGAACCGTTCACCTCTGTAACTGTTCTGCACTCTAAGAAGCCACACTTTAATACTTATAGTACGAAGAAGGGGATATGCTTTTTCAAATTTCAAGACATTATCTTCTTTTGGAGATACCTTCTACCTGTATTTGACTGTAAGACTTATGTTTAATAAAGTAAATAATAAATATAAGGACATAATTGAAAAAAAAGGAAAGACTTTTGAAAATATCCTTGTTTTTTACCCTAAGTTAGAATGATTTTAGCAATCAAAAAAAATAAATAAATAAAACTAGATTATGTAGAAACTATATAGTTTAATATCTAATTTCAGTGTTTTTTAAAACAGTTTTTTGCAGATACTGTAAATCTCCAGAAATTGTGTTTTACAATTCAGTGACAAGAAATGCTCTAAACTCGCTTGGTAAATGTGTCAAACAGCTCTTTTATGTTCTAATTTTTCACTTATTATGGTTGTCTGTCAAATATTTATTCCATATTCTGAATTCTAGAAGTAAATAAAAATAAAAGAAAAATCTACATTTTGAAAAATTTTAGAAATTAGTATTTTATAGCAGGTTTATCAAAAATCTTACTACTCCATATTTTAGTTTTGCCTGATACTGTTTTATGAGTGTGATTTCTAAAAATTCATTTCGTTAGGCAACCACTGACCATAGCACACATTTTTGTGAAATAGGTATCTTTTGAAGTGCATTCCTTGAAAAATATTTGTATTCAGCACTGTGATATTTTTATGGAAACATTATATTCTACCACTTTGATTAGAGTGGATAATTTTGCTAGTTGTAATTTTTGGGATGTTTTGTACAATTATGATCAATACTTTAACCAGGGATGTTTATTATATCGAAAGGGTTTCAATTATTGAGTTAAAATTAAGTAATAAATTTTTTTTGAAAAGTTCGTAAAAGTTTAAGAGTTCAATCATTCTATGAAAACTTTAAAATAACTTCAGATATTAAGATTTAAATTATGGCATGTTCTGAATGCTTGCTATTACTGGATAATGATGGATGGACAAATGGCAAAACATCAATGCTTCGTATAGCAATTTTGTTTTTTGGCAATGGTTTTGGAATTATGTGCTTAAACTTTGTCTTTATTGCCCTAATTAAATGAGTTGCATGGGTTGAGATGAGAAAAATTGGGTGGCTTTGATGATTGTCATAGGCTCAGAAATGCTGCATTTTTGCATTTTGAAAAACAGGAATTAGAGTGTGCATGCTAAAAAAAAATCTCTTAACACACACTGCATCCTTCTTCAAGTTTTAAGTGAATCTTTCTAGTGGTTCAATATTGATTGGTTTTTTTCCCTCTAAAATATCCTGTATATTCATTTATTACAAAATGTTAATTGAATTCATATAAAAGGTTTACTTTTAAATAAAAGTTTTAAGACTTGCTACCGTATTGTATAATTGCAATCAATTTAGAAATTGTCTTAACAACTAACAACTTAATTAAAATAAATAACAACTTAATTAAAAAAATTATTTCTGTATCAAAATAAGTTGGAATTCTGTATCATAATTATTCCAAATAAAGTTGACACAAATTTTTTTAAGATAATTGCAAAGAGAGGAAATTCAGTTTCTTTTTTGTTATATTTGGAATTTTTTAGTGGATTTTATCATTGTTTTTTGATACATCAAGAAGCTGAAATATGGCTTCAAAAAATGTGCTACATCTTTAAATTGATTGCGTTAGATTATTATAATATTGTTTAACATTTGCACATGCATGATTTAAAAATTCTCTGTTTTTTTTTAACTATTTTTTTTTTAGTTTCAAATATTTTTCTAATTAAAAACTATTGTATTGATGGAGAAGTTTTTTTTTCAGGGAACACAAAGATGTATCACTAATTAGTTTAGGAAATATTTTGCACCATGCCCATTTATCAGAAGAAGCTGCTATTGCCGTCCATGCTGCTGTGGACATAGCGCCAGAAAATGCTATATGCCATTTTACTCTTGGAAACATTTATGCTGTAAGTAATTTTTTTTCAAATTTACTTTGTTAACCATCTGATCACATTTTTTCGTAACAATTTGTAAAACAATTAGAGAATTATGATTAAATTGAAAAAGTAAATTAAAATGGAACAAAAAATAGCATGAATGCAATAAAGGACCTTATCAGGGGACACTCTGCATGTATTCATATGAGAGCTTTCTTGTGAATAACTTTTAACAAAACAAAAGTGCTATTTATGTTAATGAAACAAAAATATCATTCATACTTTGTCCTATTCCAATTTAATTATAATTCTCTAATCTTTTTATAAATTTATTTGTAGTAATATTCTTCCTAAGAATTCTTGAAAAATGCCCTTAAGAGTGGTTATTAGAACCAAAAAATATTAAATTGAAAAATGCTACCCTTTATATTTTTAATGCCACATTTTTATCTTATACTATTTTGTTTCAAAAAGCTAGCTTGTATCCCATATTTATAAATATAATTAAAAAAAGTAATTAAAATATGTAATTTATAATTTAAATAAAATGTAAATATGTACCACATGAATTTAATATATACCACACATATACCACATTAAATGTTATGAGAATCTTAAAATCAAAAGAATGTCTTTCATCAAAAAAAGCAAGTTCTTATTTCTTGAGAAACTCAGATCATCATCAACATTTGTTATTTTAATATATTTAAAATGTGTAATTTAAAGTAATTTATAAAGAAAAAAAAACTAATTCACAAACGAAATCCTCTTAAAATAAACGAATATCAATCAAAAGTGATAAAAAAAATTGACTAACAAGAGTAAAAACATAAAAATTAAGAATAAATAATCAAAAATATACTATAAATAATCTGCTATAAAAAAGTAAATAAAAAATGTAAAAAAAAGAAAAAAACAGTCCTAGCCCTAGTAAATATTATTCTTTAAGTATCATTATGTAAGAATTAGTATTATGCAAAATAAATTTAATACCTCTATATATTGATTGTAGTTAATAAAAGATGATTATTTTAGTTATAATCTCTGTAGATCATAGAAAAGAAATAATTTTATCTTACTGTTTGTGCATTCTGATCCATCTGAAAAATCTCTTGATATAGTCTTTAATAAATAAGGTATAGATATCTTGAACTCTAATTGGCATAAATTATTGAAAGCTATTAAGGCTGTAAATTATTTATATTTATATAATCTTTTTGTAAATTATTTATTATCTTTTAATAACATAAGTAAGTTATTTATTTATCCCTTTTTTAAAGGTTTTTACTTGTTCATAATTTTATTCCTGTTCAAAAATCAAAGGCTTAAAACTAAATGTGATGTTATTATCCTATAAAATAATTCTACGATATTTCCTTAGTATGTAACATATTATCTGAACATATTTGGTTTGTGTTCTTACAAGTTCTAAATCAGTAAATAAATTATGTACAATAACTTTGATATAAAACAGTCAACGTATGCAATTAAAAGAATTCAATACAAAATAACCATAAAAATTTATAAACCACAATGTTAGGAACTAAATTTTCACACTACTGCTAAAAGATCACTGAGGTGAAAAACATTTATTGACTTTTTTTAGAAATCAAAAATTAAATACTAATTTAAAAACAACTTTAACTTCAACTCTACGCAAAAAATAGTTAAGTGAAATAATTAGTTTTGAATTTTATTCCATCGGAATCGGAAACTAAATGTATGGAATGGAACCAAATTTGTGTTAATACAGTAAAATAATTTAGGATATTTTAACGGAATAATTTTAAATTTTGATGTTACAATCTATTTGTTTTCAATAATTAAAAATGATTGTGAATGAGATAGGGGTTTATGGGCAAAGTGAGCAAAAGGCAGAGCCTTTAAGTGCTGTAAAAAATTTAGTTCATCGATTGTATATCTACTTAAAAAGGATTATTATGTTTGCATGAGCAATAATTCAAATTAATAAAGAATTATTTGAAGCTTTTAATCCACGAGGAATATTAATTTATAAAAATACTAGTAGATGATTATACTTAAATTGAAATAGAAAAGCAAATTGAAATTGAGCATAAGGAGCGTGAATGCAACACAGAACTTCTTCCGGACACGCCCTGCATGCATTCATGTTGGAGCTTTTATGTGAATAACTGTTCTGTTAAAAAGTATTATTTGTGTCTGAAGCCCTGTTAGGGTCTTACATTCTGTTTCTTTTGTTCTTTTTCAATTTACTTTTCTGTTTCAATGTAAGTATAATTCACTCATATTTTTATACATATATTTGAGAACAAATTTTGGACTTAAGCTGCTTTAATGCTGGGTTAGGTTTGCCTTAGATTTTGTTTATGTGCAACACCTTCAAACTGATTTTTAACAGATTTTTATTTAAGAATATGAGGAACATTAGGTAATGGTATGTGATAAATCCTTATAAAAGTTCAAAAGCTATATGAAGTGATAATATATATATTTTTTTCAATGAATTTTGCTTCAACTTTATGACTATTTTTTCCAAAACAATGATTTAATAATTTTTTTTTCTGCTTCAAGTGTTGAATAATTTTATAAAATTATTATATTTTTAAGCCAGATTTTAGCATATTATAAAATAAAGTCTTGAAGTTTTGAAAATTTGTAATTTTCTTTCATTTGCATGTAATGTCTTCTCATTTCAGGTTTTAGCAGATTATAATAAATCTGCAATTTGTTTTGAAAATACTTTAAAAGTTCAGCCTGATTTCAAAGCTGCAGAACAAAGGTATCATGCTGTGATGTGCCATAATAAACTTGAAAAGGCTCTTGAAGCTCAGCACATGTAAGATAAATTTCTTTTAAACCTTGTTTTGTAATTATTACCATTTCTAAATGAGAGCTTTTTTTATGAAAAAAATTATATATATAACTGTGATATTATTTTATGTTGACCTTGATTGCGTGATCAGCAGTGCTCAAAGTTATAGTTACTGTTTTATGTTTGTCAAGCTAAATCAAGCAACAATATAAAATTAAAAAATAAAAAATTACAATTTACGAAACTAAAATAAAAAAAAAATTTTATTAGTGAAAATATATAAGAATTGTGTTTTACAATTCTTTTAATCCATGTGCTTTTAACCATACAACTTAATAATAAATACTGAGTTGTGCAACATAATTCATATAAAACATAGATTTAAATTTATTTTCAAATGTTTCAAACATAAGTTTTAGTTAAATGTGTCACTTTTTTGTTGAGTTCATAAAATTAGAATTAATTAGAAATTCAAATAACTGTAAATCATAGTTCTTAGTTAGAAATTATAGCTTTTTTCTAGTTTCTGTTAAAGATAAATCCTAGTATGAAAATTTACTGTCTATAAAGTTCAATTGTAGCTTATAAAAAAATAAAGTATTTCCTTTTTAAAAATCAACAATTTTGATGTTTAATTTTCATAAACATTAAAATAGTTTTTGAATTCTTTACTATCCATGCGTATATATTTATTTGATTAGGTATAAAATGCGGCATCAAGAAAAAGAAAAGCATTTTTCACATATTTTCTTTCTTTTGTGTTTTATTTGCATTGTTTTTTTCTTTAATTATAACTGGTTTGAGTAAATCAATTTAAAGTATATTGTTTTTAAGTAATTTTAGTTAATTTTTAAATTTTTTTAAAATTTAGTTTTTTATTTAAAAAAATCTAATTTGATTTTAATTTATTTTATTTAATAATTTTGATAATTCTTATATGATATCTATGATAAAAAAAATATTTTAAAAATTGAGTAATCAGTGCCTTGCTCTGATTAAAAGCTTTTTCTTGTTCAGTTTTAATTAAATTGCAATTATGATTGTTAGAATTGAATTATTTAATTGCTATTTCAAAATAAAATCATTTTATAAACTGGGCTTGAATTTGGAAATAAAAAGGCACAAGGTTCATGCCTTTTATTTATTTCTCCGTTCTTTAGCAATAAAATATAGGCAAATTTTGCTCGTATATTTTCTATATATATTAAAAAACAATAAAAGTGTTGAAAATAAGTTTGAAATTAAGTTTTCAGTTGTATACATATTGCTGTTGTACTTTTTTTTATAAATTGTCTTTATTCTATTCAGCAACTAGAGCTTTAAAATTAAACATGAGAAAATGATTCTAAACCCATAATTTATGAAATCATTTGCTAAAACAATTCTGTCATTTCAATCACTTTTTTGTTGGTATATTGTTTGTATTTTTTCCCTATCTTTTTATTTTTCAAATGAATTAACAAAGCATGTTTTGTGATTTTGAACTATCTGATTTACTATTTAAGCAATCATTGAAAACTATTAGCATTTACTTTGTAAGAAACTAGATGAAGAGTTTTCATATACTTTTGAAAAGATATTTCACAGGAAGTAACAAAACTATTAAATTGTTATAAAAATAATATAAAAATGATTTATTAAGAAAATTATTGTGAGCCTCATAAAAGCTTTCTTGTTCACTGCTATTTGACTCACTAAGAAATAAGTTTTCAATTTTTAAACAAATTAGTGTAAAGATTTTAAGTTGTACCCCTCTTCTTCTTTACTCGGAAAAGATTCAGACTGATCGAGTAAAGTGGTGTGATGAGAAACAGATGAGAAGCAATGGACACAAATAAGCGGGCATGATACCATGGAAACAAACAGAGCAAGATATAATTCTTGCGACCACCAGAGAATCGCATTGTTAAAATATCGATGGGAGTACTTAGCAGAATACGCTTCGCACAGTGGTACTCATGGCCTGAAGGAGATTTCACTGTAAACGCGTGCGGCAGTCAATGTGTTGAAGAACATTATTAGTATTATCATTTGCCCTTAAACATGCATGAAAACTCTGTAATTATACTGTATAACCTCAGGGAAACTCTGTATAATCTCAAGCAATTTGAAAGTATTTTAAAACTGTTTTTTCAATGTAAAAAGTAAATGAAACATTTGCTTACATTAAAGTATGCCTACAAAACACTCTTAGTTTCTTGTGAAACATGTTTCTTTCCATGCTGTTCCATGAGTACCTTTTTTACAGATTTGTCTAAAGTCATGCTATTTGAAAGGTAACATATTATAAAGTAATTTTTTTATTATACCAGAAATAAATTTTTTTATTATTAAATAATGCGCAATTAAACCTTCAAAGAGATTGTGTGACTTCTTTCTGCCTGACTTTATTATTATTATTTTACTATTTTATGGGTCAGTCATATTCCTATTGTGTGGATTTACTGTAACAGTTTGCAAAAGTCAATATGCATTTTTAAAGAAGCCTGTGTTTTAAAATAACACCGAATTTTTGTTTTAAAATTAAACCAAAATTATTATTTTTTCCTTAGTTTTTCATTCTATTTTCTACACATTCCAAGTTCCCCAAATTTATAAAAATGTATTACCAAAATTTTAGGTAAAAGTGGGTGAATGGAGGCGAGGGAATGATGCTCTCATATGAGAATTTGAAATATATATTTTGTGCTGGTTAAGTCACATTATATATTTGCTTTTAAATTTAAAGAGGCTAAACAATTCTTGCCCTCCCAGATCAAATCCAAAGCTATAAAATTATCAAAACGAAAATAGATATGTAAAGGATGTATGCCATTTCTATGTTTATCACTTTTTTCTCTTTCTATCATTTCCTTTTTGTACATATATATTTTTTTAGTGGAGGTGAGAAATCAGGGGAAAAAGAGCTCTTTTGATGTGTAAAATTCAAAAAAGAAAAAATTATGGAATAGAAAAAAACTCATTCTTTTTCTTTTAAATATGGAGTAGAAATATGAATAATCATAGTTCAAGTTATTTGTGATATTTAAAAGTTATTTGACCAAAATATGTATTCCTTTCATGGGATTCTTAATTATTCTTTTAATAGTCCATTCCACCTTAAGTTAGCACTGGAGAGAAAGGCAGGTAGACCGGATTACAGCCGTTATTATGGAAACTGGGTTACTCTTTAAGTCAGTTGGGGGATGAGGTAGCAAAAAAGGGAGATGAAGTGGCCAGTATTGGCGTTTAAGAAAGCAAAACTCCGAATTTTTTTTTAAACCAAGAATCATACTAAAATTTTGAACAGAATACGGAAAAGAACACGATTTTTTAGAGCATTTCTAATAACTATAATTTTAAGATACTGGATGTAAGCTGATTTCTTAATTAGTATTTAAAAAGCAGATTTTCTTATTATGATTTTTTAACTAAACGGAACTAATTTTAAACAACAGCAGAATTTTTTTTTATTTTTTAAAAAGATTCTTTTTTGCTGAAATCTAAGTAAAAAGAAGAAATGCATAGATGCGCATAAATACTTTGTTTTAAATATTTATTTTTATATTCTTATTTTTTGTAGATTAATGTACATTAATTTATCCCACATTGGTGTTTTGTTAGGGAAGGAAAAATCAGCATAGACAGGAAATTATTAATCATGAAAAAGATCATACTTATGTTTTATAATATTTACTTTTCATTTTTTTTCTTATTATGATTTTTTAATTAAACGAAACTAATTTTAAACAAGAAAAATATATTTAAAAAGATTCTTTTTTTGGTGAAATCTAAGTAAAGAAAAGGAATACTTAGATGCGCATAAATACTTTGTTTTAAATATTTATTTATTATTATACATATATTAATAAATATTTTAATCGACTCAACAGGAACTCCTTGAATAACATGAAAACCACCTATTCTGATGGTTATCATGTTATTCATTTAATATTTTAACAGTTGACAGTTCCTTCTGTAAACTCTTTGTGGGGTCACCCTGAATTGAATTCAATCCACAATTTCTCATCAGGAGAAATTCTACTTGGGTTGTTAGGCGCATTTCTTCGAAAGAAAATACATATTTTAAAATATCAGAACTTTCCTTTACTTTTCAGGATCTTTGCGGGTGAAAGGAGGCGTAAGAGAAAAATCCGTATAATTAGTTATTTAAGTATACTAGTAGAATTAGTTAGTCTCGAAATATTTTTTCAGATACTGAAATATCTTAACATTTTCTACATAAGAGAAAGAATTTCTCAGCTTTTTTGACTTTGTATTTCAAAAATAATAATTAAAATATTGATTGGTTTAAATTAACCTTTCGATGTTTAAAAAAAATTAACGATTCAAATTTTGTGTCTTTTTTTAAATTATTTCAATTCGTATACATTTTATTAGTTTATAACTAACGGATTTGCGCACTTATATTATGGAATTTGTATTTCAGATAATATTTAAAAGTCCCATTAATTAAACAAGCTAAAAATCTTAAATTTCCGCCATCACATTATTAAAGTTCCTATAAAAAGCGAATTGTACTTCAGAGATACTGTACTGTAAAGATTCAAAATTTGAATCTTTACAGAGATTGAATCTAGCGAAAACAATTTTTACTTTTGTCGTAAAAAATAGTAATAAAATTACATGTTGATTTAGCTACACAGCTAATATGCTCAACTGTCATTAGTTTAATAATATTCACCTGTCTATTTGGGTGTTTTTTTTTCATTCATTCTGAAGGGAAAAAAATTTTCATTAAATATTGTACATATGAGGTTAATATTTAGAAAATTAAATAATCAAATGTAAAAATAAAGCGAAAAAAGAACTGCGCAAGACATAGGACACTTAAGCAAAGGCAAGGAGAATGGAAAGAGCTGGCTGACCAGTGTAAAAACATAGCCAATGCCCCAATTCACTTCACTGACATTTATTATGACTTCACTTCATTACATTTAAACATGAAAAACTTCTTATGCATGTTTCAAGATAAACTTTTCTTACTATACAACATTTATTTATATTTGTATGCGCATTTAAACTGCAATTAATTCCAAAATAGCGAAGAACTACTTTTCAAAGGCAGAGTATTACATTTTCTACCCTTCCCTGTTGTGCCAACTTAAGGTGAAATGTAGTATATCACAGTATACTTATTACATAACTTTCAAATATTTTGAGTTGCAAATTTATAAATATGTATCTGTTTTGTTAGATCTCTCCAAAGGACTTTGTCAGAGTTGAGGGAATACCAAAAGCAGCATGAATACTGGCTGAGGCAGCATGAGAAGTTACTAAATGAGCAGGCACCCCCTGAAGTCAAACTAGAACAGAGGCTGGAATACGAAGAACAGAAGATAAGGGAGAGCCTGGATGGCAGAGGTATGGGGTGTTCGCGATCTGGCGAGTGCTGCGGGGTACCCATATTATTCACTGTTGTTCCTCCATGACAATATAGTCAAAAATTAACTTTTCCTAATATTGCTCAAAAAATTGAAAGTGATAAAAAGGGGTGTTTTTTTTAAAGACATCATGAAACAGATAACTAAAATTTATAGATTAGTTTGTTCTTTTTAATGGTACATTAATTATTTTGTTCAGTATTAGTTTTTTTTCATAGAATTTTGTTTTATGTTTGTAGGATTTTTCTATAATGAGGTCTGTTCTTTTCTTTTCTTTCTCTAAAAAACTGCATGCTTTTCTTTTTTTTCTTTTGTTGATATAAAGTCAAGGTAGAAAACAGAAAAATGACCTAAATATTCAGAATGTTTAGAAAATGTACAGTAAATGTTCTGTTATGTACTATTGAATTCCAGCACAGTTTTTTGTGTTTGCTACAGTAAATATTGTTAGTATTTTACCTGCATGCGATTCTGTCCTAAAATATTTTTCCCACTAGAATCAAGAATATTATATGCCCATTTTTTTTCCTTTATTTTTAGTGTTCATAAATTCTTGTCTGGAACTTTTTTAAATTTACTAAACTTTCTTAAAAAATATCACTATGAAAAACACAAGATGTTTTCACTTGATAAAATATACTGAGGTTATGCATTTTGACCATTTGGTTGATTCTCTTCAAAAATATATGACCTTTAGTTGCTGTTCAATGCAATTCTATAAATAATCACGAGTTGGTTGCTTCTTTGCAGCTTTAAAGATTAAATCAGAATTCAGGTTGTTTCGTTCTGTTTCATTTGTATTGTTTTAACAGTGGTGTCATTTTTTTTCTTCACTTAAATAGGAAATCATGACCTTTAATGTGTACATTTTTCTGTTTTCATTTTTGACAAGGATTATCCCTAATCCTTTTTAGAAGTGTGGCCCACCCTGCTTACTCTTTGATGCGCCCTCTTTGCCCTTTTTCTAAAAATAAGCCAACATTCCTTAAAAACGCTGCCTTTTTATTCATATTTCATTTAAAAATATTAAATCATTATTTAAATAATAATTACTGGCTGGTAAAGCTATCTGTGTTTATAGATTTAATTCTGATTGCTATTACAAATATTTATTTTGTTAGGATTATTCTGAACTGTTTAAATTTGTATAAGTTTCTCTTTTTTCATGAGGCATATTAATGAATTGTTTTTTAAATTATTTTTTAAATGAATTTTTTTAATGGCATCTTTAAATGTTTAATTTAAATTACAGAAAGAAAGCTTTCAAGTTATTTATCAATAATCATTTCTTTTTTAGTTTACTTTTTTTGAAAAAATGTGTGGACACTGATTGTCTTTTAGCATGCCTTTACTTATACAGTAGGGAACCGATTATCCGGAACGATCGGGACCATCGATATTCCGGATAACTGATTTTTCCGGTTTTCTGAATCGCTACAAAACCCTGTTTTTTTTATACTTAAACCCAACTAAAAAAAAAAAAAAATTGGAAATAATCTTAAAAAGAAGAAAAACCAATGAAATAATACACTAATGATTATTTCCAAAATGATGGTAAGGTAAACATCTTTCAAATAAGAACGAAAAATCCTAAAATCCTATGAGGAAAAAAAAATTATTTTTTTTATAATGGCGGGAAAACTAATCGAATTTCGTTCCGGTTTTTTGGTTTTCCGGTTTTCTGATTTCCGGATAACGGGTTCTGTACTGTATTTTATAAACTGTAACGTTTTCTCTTATTTTGGTAATGACTGAGAATTACTTTTCGAAAAACGCACATAAAATAGTATTAGATAGTAACTTAAAAATTGCTGACGATCAAATTCAGTTATTGCATAACGTTACCCGTTTTGTTAAATTTTTACCTCGTTAAGTGAGTTCCCTTTCAAGACTGAAATAGCCCTTTTCTGTGAGGAAGCTTCCTGTCCTTTTCTATTTCTAGGGAAAACACTGGTACCGTAATCAAAAAAATTGTAATATAAGTTAAGGCTCTAATATTTCAGCATTAAATAAATATGTCAGAATTTTCCTAATTGTTATAGATGTGCACACATACATATCTATATATACAAATGTGATAACTGTGTGGCCGAGCAAGAGAAATCATTTTATGGAATCATCAGTAATCATTTTATGGAGTGAATCCAAAAATGTCTAAAATTGAAGCGCTTCACTCTCAAAAGGTTGGAAAAATCTTACAAACAAGTCCTTAAATGCAAAAGGGAAATGTTTGTAATTATAGTTAGTCCATTAAATAAGTCGAGAGAATAATGTGGTTCTCATACCCAGGAAAGGGAAAAACTCACGATGTTGATTCTTGCATACTTAAATTCAAAAATAGAATAAAAAGGCATATGTCAACAATAAAATGTGAGAACATGTTTACTTTTGAATAATGAATTAAGGAGAATTTAGAAAAGAAATAACATAAAAAAATTGTTAAAGCTTTTTGTTTTATGTATATATATACATATAATTTTTGTCTATAGTTTTAATTTGACTTTCAAAATTTATGCCATTTTAATTTCTTGTTTAGGTTTTCAACAAAGTATTTAATTTTTATTGTACGTATTATTACATATTATGCTGCCTATTAATTGCATTTAGTTTCACACAGAAATAGTTTTATTGCCAATTCTTGCCCTTAAACTACACTTTTCATTCTTTTTTGTTAATTCAATTTAATCTTATATACTAATTTAAAAAAAATTATACTTTTTTTGTATAAATAAGTAGGAAAAGCAAACTTTTAAAACATGTATTAAGTTTCTTGCCTGAGTATAGATTTTACTTTATAGGAAAATAGTCTATGGAGTCATTAAGTTATTCATTTATTTTTTATGAACTGTTTTTATGTTATAAATGTTACAATAAATCATAAATTAATTAAAAACATAATAAGGTTTCAGTAACTAATTTTTAATGAATGAATACGGTTTATTTCGTTTTGCAATAGGTTTAAATTTAAGTGTTATTTTTTATACCTAATTGATAATATATTTCTTAATATAGTCATTTTTGGTGAATATTAAATCTGAAAATAAGTAAAAAAAGAAAGAAAAAACATTAAAATTTTGGAAACAGTTTTCCTTTATCGATTTGACATTTTATTCAAAATGTATAGTGTAATGTAAAGTCATACTTAAATTTGATTTGTTTAAAAGCATGTAATTAAGTATATTTTAACTTATTATTTTTGATTTACTGTGTGCAAAAAAATACCCTAAAAAACTTTTGATCTAATGATCGGATCTTCAGGTACTAGGATTCAATCTTAATGGTTCAAGAGGGTGACCTCAAATTTGTTAATTAATTAGTGCTGGCGATATTTTAAATTACGAAATGAGATACAGAAACATATTTTCTGTGAATAAACATACCTTTTTTTCAATGGATTCAGCTGCAATCTGTGTAATATAGTTCTAATTGTTTGGTCAAGAGTGTAGTCAAAAGCTTGGACCCTTAATGTTAATTTTACTTTTTGCGAATAAATTTTTTTTTCACATAATGATAAAATTAGTTCATCCAAAGACGATTCCATGCAAATAATCATTTTTAATAATTTTGAGTCATTATATGTGAAGATCCGATCAGTAGGTCAAAAGTTATTCAGAGTGGTTCTTTTTTTTTTGCACAATGTACATAGTATTAGATTGAAGTTAAAAATTTCCTTTTCTGATGCAATATATGTTTGACACACAATTGATTGCCTAACAAGAAAGAAATCTTTTATAATATCTATTAATAATTTATAAAAATTAAATAATTATTGTTTTCTATTATTTATTTACTAGAGTCTATTTTATTGTGTCTAAGCTTTAAAACTATCTTGTATTAAAACTTTTGAGTGATGCTAACTTGCCATTTTCTGCACAAAAGTGATATCATTTTATATTTTATTTACATATATTTCTGTAAAATTAATTATTTGAAAGTTACTTAATACTTTTACTTGCATTGAATTGCAACATGCAGACTTAATTTTATAATACAAAGTTAGATCTGTCTTATTTAAGGGGCATAAATATTTGTTTCCACTCGATAAATGAACTAAATATTCATTTACTATTTGGTATTTAGCCACCTACACTAAATGTTTAATTTTAAGGAATGTCTAATAATGTGGCTGAACTTTCTTTATTTTGTTTCACTAATCATTATTGTAGTATTAAATTCAGAGTTATTCATTCTAAATTATTTTTTAGCACTTGGGTGATCTAAGCAATTTTTTGAAACAAAGGAATTAATTTTCTTTATTAGTTTCTAAACAGGGTTTACATTTTTAACCTCCATTTTTACTATTTAAAAAAACTGTAAGGTAGCTCGTTTACATGTCAAAAAATTGTTACTTTCAACTATTGCTAATTATATAGTTATGGTAAACTCAGTAAAAAAATAATTAGCTATAAGTTCATTTTTTAAGTAGGTTGAAAGTTAAAATCAAAATGATATTTACTGTATTTATTATTGTCCAAACCATTCCTTAAAGCAGAGTTAAATATTAAATTAAGTATGAGTGTATTAGTTTCAAAAATATTTTGTTTTCATGCATGTCTTTCAGTATTAGTATTTTGCGTTACTTTTGCATAATTTATGTGAATGTAATTTTTTTTTGTGTGTTTAGCTATGTATGAAAATTAGAGATTTAAAAATAAGAATTAGAAAAAGAATAAGAGAATTTCACAATATTCATATATCCTGCAGTGCCTTTAAAAGCTTTTAAATACAGTGAAACCTCATGTTAAGGACACTCCTACGAAACAGGCACCTCTCAATACGGACACATTCTTCATTCCCTGTTTGTCTTCTATGAATAAAACCATTATGGACATTCTTCGCAAAGCGTAAACTTCTATAACCGGACGCGGGCAGCCACTTTTGCCCGGAAACATTATTTTCTATCTCTCCAAACCGGACACCAATTTTTCTAAATTTAAAAACAAACTATTTCTGCTTTACATTCCACGAAAAACATATACAATTTTTCACAATTTTTGAGGCATATAAATTTTTTTACCTAATCCATAATTAAAAATATTCTTAAGCTATTTCACTACTAAAGAATCAATCTTTCTCCTGTCACTTTTCCTTATCTTTGCAAAGAAAGGAGAGAAAATGATACTGCTCACATGAAGTAATTCTGACAGCAGCCTCTTCTGATCTTTTCATCTGGACAATGCAGGTTA